ATATTATTTCTGTTTGAATCTCTTATTTTCCCGTGTAAACTTATGTTAATTCTTTATAAAAAGTATTTTAAAAGTTATATAACCATCTTTTTATTGGAATACAACAATAATTTAACAAATTTTACGAGATAAAAAAAAGTACATTTTTATGAATCTTTCTTGTTTTACGGAGCCATTGTGGTAAATCAAGGATAACTCTTCTGTCTTTAAAGATACTTTATAAAAGTTGCCCAATTCAATGAATCTTGTTAAAATAAATGATGTATTTATTTTATAACTTTACTATCAACTATAACCGGAGTTGCCCGGGGCTGCATTCAGACAAAAACATCTGCTACGTCCTTTTAGTTCTCATTGCTATTAAAGGAAATGTCAACAACAAAACAACAACACTATAGTAAAAAAAATAATAATAATTAATTAGTCTCCTATAAAAAAACTTAAAATAACTTATGTAAACTTTTCGTTTTTCCCGTTTTCCGATGACACCCGGAAGGATCATGATGGGATTCCGAACCCGATGTGATTCCGATAGAATCCTGGTCATGGTGGGATCCCGATCCCGGTAAGATACCGATCCCGGTGAGATACGTTTCCGGTGGTATTCCCAAACTAAATGAGATCCCAATCTGGTGGGATCCCGATTCCGGTGGGATCCCGTTTCGGTGAGATTCCGATCCCAACAGGATTTTGATCCAAGTGAGATCCTGATCCCGGTGGGATCCCGATCCAGTGGGTTACCGATCCCGGTGGGATACCGGTTACGGTGAGATCCCGTGTCGGGTGATATGCAGATCCTGGTAATTATGGGAGCTCACATACTTGACATACGAACCCAGCTTACAAGCCACATTGCAATTGTTACGAGCACCTTAGGAGAAATTCCAGTTGTATTAACGTTATTTGTTGCCACACAAGGTGCGCGTTTAAACCAAATGCTGCACCATTAAAAATGCCTGTTGCATCAACAATTTTAGTTATTGTTTCTTGGTCGTCCTGCAATTTTAAACAAAATGATCCTACAACCAGCAATACCGCAAAGCCAAAACGAGTCCATCTTATAATATAAAAAAATAATCACTAGCCCTCACTTTACTCAGCGCAAATCAGTCACCAGTAATAAGCGCATTTGCATACGAAAAAAGAGGAGGGGGTGCTCAAATTAGAGCTGACCAATCACGGACAGCGTATTAGCAGCCTTCAGGGTGATCAGCTTCACACCAGGTCCAGGACAATGATGAC